GTAGGGCCCAAGGGGGGTTTGATTGGGTCAAAATAGTGCCCTAGGTTCCAGTAGGCATGCTCTCCCAGTGCTAGCTTGCAAAGGTCTGGATACAAATCTGGCCACCAAGTCCACAGAGGGGATATGGTAGAGGCAGACCATATTATGGCCCCCTGCCCAGTCATTATTGTCAAGTCTGGTTTTGGGGAAAGTGTGGGTTTATGCCTGCCAGGGGATGGACACTGTGTCCTTCTGTTACAGTCAAAGCCACAATAGAAAAAAACATTAAGCAGTTTTTAAGAGTCTTATCTTGAGAGGATTTTGAGTATGCTGCAGCTTCCCTCTGGGCAACACTGTGGGATTCTCGTTGACCTTGGGTGGTGCACGTCTAACATGGGAGGCATGAATCCAGGCCGCAATCCCGTCCACCTTTAATGCTGTGGGGGTGGTCAGTAATACGGTATACGGGCCTTTTCAGCGAGGTTCGAGGGTCCTGGACTGATGTCTCTTCACATACACCTCATCGCCAATCTGGAAGGGGTGTGGGATGGTGGAGTTCCCGGCTGTGTAGGCTGCTGCCAGAGGTCTCCACACTTGATTTTGAATGAGTTGCAGGGTGCCATTCCCTCCTTTGGCTTGTGGAACCTTTATCTTAGAACAGCCTTAAGGCACCATTGTGATGCAGAAGTTAAGGCTAAGAGTACTACTTCCATTGATAACACACTCAGGTTATTACTATACCACAGCCAAACTAGGCTGTGACTATAGAGTGGATTTCCAGTCACTATGCATGGAAGTGCCTAAGGTAAGCAAGCCAGTGATATCCTTGTCCCCAGTATCCACTGTGGGAATAGAGAGAATTTCTGGATATCACCCAAAGGAATGTCCCACAAGATCTTAGATTTAGCAGCTGTCAACTAGGAAGCAAACTTAGGCGATGGAATCAGGCAGGAGTTCCTCCAGGTGACTGTCAGGCCGTCATTGAACTTTACCCATTAGGGTGTACAGCAGCAGCAGTAGCAGCAGCAGGAGCAGCAGCAGGATCTCTCAGTGGTTCCAAAGGACTGTCACACCTCATGCTGGGCTGTAAATTCCTACACAGACTGGTTAAGGATGCAAGTAATACGTAGGCTTGGCAGGCTTTGATCCCACTGGTTTTTAAGACCTTTAAACAATAGCCCAGGACAATTTACCAAAATCACAACTTTTTTACAAACCAGATATTTTTGTAAACAGACACAGAAGGCTTAGTCTTGTAACCATCTCCGACAGATGCAGTCTCAACACTTGCACACCTGTTAACACTATTTTTTATATTTGTTTTTAAAAAATATTATTTTATTTATTTTGCCTGATTTTTCTAAAACTGACTCTAGACTCTTGATTTTAAAAGGGGGTTGATGGGTGAAGGTCCATCGTCTGTAACTTCTTTAAGCTGACTTTAGGGGCGTTGATCCTACCTAGCCAGGAACCTATAACCTTAGCCTATTTTACAAAGAGGCTATCAGGGTGAGATGTCATTAAGAACAATATTTTGACAACTGCACAGACCTTTTCTCCAGCTACAGCAGTGTAGTTTGTTTAGCACTCTGGTTTGCAAAAACACCTTTTTAGATGGCTTAGGAATGTGATCTCTAGTGACCCTAACAATGCCTAAGTTACCTTTGCAGGCCTTTAGAAAGAGATCAATGGACTCTCAGGTTTACAAACTTTTTCCTGAGCAGATGAATTTCATGTAGCTGATGTCAGCTCAATAGTACTGCCAATTAAAGCTTTTGGCACATAAAGGGGTTGAGATTTAAACTATCCCCCATATTTTATAACATTAGCTTTTCACTACTATCACAGAGGAGTGGCAAGTTCCTGTCCCTTACAAGGTAGATAGTCATGGACATTTTGGCATGCTTATAAACTCTTTCCATTACCTCCTGGCTCTGACCAGTTTTGAAGGGCCACACACAAATGACTCTAGGATCTGACATTTCTTCCATCCAAGCAGTGGCTTACTGCCTCTGGATGCTTCTCCATTTCTCTTGTCCCAGGAGTGTCTTCTCTAACTGGATAAATGCCTCATTGGCATTTCCCTTAGCTGGTTGCTGGACTTGAACTCGGGGCCGGAGTGCTGTCCCTCAGCTCTCCAGCTCAAGGCTAGCACTCTGCCACTTTGAGTCCCAAAGCAACTCTGCTTGCTCTTTCAGTACTCTGCTGGCTGAGTAGAGGTGACAGTCTCACAGGAACCTTTTTGTGCCCGGGCTGGCTTTGAACCAGTTTGCAGATCAATGAGTCTTACAAAAGGCCATTTTATTCCAATTAAAAGCAACAAGGTGGTCAACATACAAGTAGCTTTTAAGCATGCTCTTACCTGAAACTTATTAAGAGTCAAAGTTACATCTGGCAAACTTTTAAGAATCCTCTGTGCTTTGCTCTGGATTTTGCTGGAAACTTAAAAAAAAACCTATAAGAGCAAACTAGAATAGCAATTATTTTGGTAATCCTAATTTTTTTTTAAGCCTCTTATTAATTACCTTTAAGATTTTATACTTTAGTTTTTATTTGTGTTTTAAAAAAACCTCTTAAAATCTTGAGGCCAAGTGTCACTCATTGTCTCTTGCTGCTTGTTTTTACACATTAAAACTTTTAAACTCAAATGACAATTTTTCCTTAATGCAAGAATTACAGTCACCATCACTATACCACGAAGCTAGACTTAACACCTTTATAACTTTTAAAAACATCCTAATTGTAGAACATAATTGAAAGTAAGCCACATTATACAAATAACTTTTTAACCCTCTTTTTAAGGCTTTTTTAATTTTAATGTTAACACATCCAAGGGGAAGTTTTAGCAATACTAATCAGATCATCACATCACTCATTTTAACCATTATGTTTTCAGTGTCTATCTGCAGGGAATAGAGAGAACAAAGATAGGCCACTCAGCCCCTTCTATGGAATGGGCACACACCCAATCTGACTCTTTAGGGTTAGATCAACTGCTTTTGTGCCAGCTTAACCTCTTTTACCATGCGTGGACTCCTCCCAGGGCTTGTCCCACCATGCATGACCAGTTGATCTGAACTTCTGCCTGTTTACCCCTTACCTCTAAAGACAGGTCTTCTGTTGGTTCTTGAATGAAATACACAGTTTTAGGCAGACAGAACAGGTATGGTTTTTGACAGTGTTAAATTAACCTTTACATTTAAATTTTTAATATTTATCCCCAAATTTTAGCCAAGGGAACTAAATCCCAAACAGCCAATGCATTTTTGTTAAGCCAGATAACTTGATTACAGTATAAACAGTCTTATGCATTTTAAAATATTAGTTTTTTTTAATACCAGATTTTTTTATTTTTCAAGTTAAAGAATCTTTAAAAAGTCATTTAAAACACTATGAAGATTTTTAAAAAAAATTTTTGGTAATGTCCAAACCTCATAACCTTTTGAATCTTAAATTTAAACTCACGCAATTGTTACAGCATGCTGACAATTTTTATCTTTGAACACGTTCACAGACACACAAAACACTCACACAGATCTTAAAGCACACAAAAATCAAAATCAGTTGTACGTACACCTTTTAAAGTTTTCAAACAAAAATTTAAGACAGTGTTTCTTTTAAACTAGGTACCTTTGTTGGGCTTCATTTTCCCAGAGCTTGCTTGTTTAGCAAGACAATTTATCAATTAGTCTTTTGAATCCCTTCCATTGGAGGAGGGCTGGGGGAGGGGGTCACCTAAAACTAAACTGGCCAGATTTTTTTTATCCAATTTTAGACAAGAGCACTTTACAAATTGTTACGTTGTCAGGACTAGCTGAAAAAGTCCAAACCAGGCAAACAGCCTTCTACACCCTCCCTGCTGGCAGCCTCCACAAGGAGAAAATGCAGCCTGAGGCTTGAAGGGAATCAAACTAGCCCAGTAACCTTCCATGCCTCACAGGGAGGGTGGGCATAGCAGCCCAGCTGGAACTCCTATTTCCCCAGAGATGTTTAAATAAATAAATAACAAAAACACAGATAAACACAAAAACCAAGGATCCACATTTAAAACTGGTACCAATTCTAAAACAGAACTAGACAAGAACCAAAGGCTGAGTTGGGGACTAATGGGACCCAGTTTATCCCTACCGAAACCCAGTGCTGCTCCCACTCAACAAGCTGAATCCAGAGTCTGCTGAATGAGCCTGCCATGCTCACCTAAAACTTCCCTACCTCTGGAAACAGAACAGAAAACACAGCGAAGTAAACAAGACAGACAAGTGGCCACAAAGACAAAATCAGGTCTCAGTGAATGGGGCGACATCTCACCACCATTTACTTACCAGGGGACTCAACCCCCCTACTCACCTCTGGAGGATTTTTCTTTTAGATTCCTGCAAACATTAACTCAGGGGCCTTCCAAGGCAGAGGAGAATTCCCAGTCATCTTGGGACAAGGGAAAAAAAATCCCTACCGGCCGTCCCTTCAGACTGACAGGTTCTACCCCACGCTCAGACCCCCCCCCCCCCCAGCCAGGCCCCAGGCTGAGATCTAACTGGGGCCACTTGCAGGTGGTCAGTGGCAGTTTCATAATTGACAAACAAGCAAGTTACAAAAGCAGAACCAGCAGTTTTTGTTTTTAAACAAACTAAGACCAGGTCTAAGGGTGTCCTGGGAGTGGACTCACTTGTTGTCCCATCTCTATAGAGAATACAAAACACACACTAAAAACAATTAACACTAAACAGAGACAGACAGAACCAGACAAACGACGCACGGCAGCTGAGCGACTACAGATGAGGAAGGAAACTACAGATGTGAATGGCTGGCCATGCCTTAACTCTCCAGTACAGAGAGACACTCGGGTCTCATCCTTCCTCCAGACCCCCTGAGAGTGGGACTCCAGGGTGGGGACCAGGGGTTTCAGGTCACGTCTGCCTCCCCTACTGGCCCAAATTCAGAATACAGGTCTTGTACAGGCACTTTGGATCCCAGAATGCAAAATGAAAGTGACAAACACGGAAGACGGGAAACACAAGAGCTCTATCTTACTTCCTGCCTGTCCTGGAGTTTGGGGTCTGGGAGCGCTGGTATCCCGGATGAGCCCCCACTGAAAGACCCTAGCCCCCCTAGGATACTTCCGTTGACGGGAGGGCGCCCCAGAAACTCAGACTCCAGACCGGAGATGCAACAAGCAAGAGGAGTTTATTTGACGTTTGCGCAAACGGACTCTGTGCCTCGGGAAGGGAAGGGAGAGAGCCTTGAGCAGCGGTAACAGGCATTTTTAAAAGCAAAGACCACATGATTAACACAAGGTGTCCCAGGATTGGCCCGTTTAAAGGTCACCATATACCCCAGCAATCATTTTTTTACGTGGGAAATTTTGTAACACTCTTTGTAAAATGACTGGCGTGGGTGATCGGGGAGTGTGTGGGGGAATCAAGGGGGCGTGGTTACTTTGGACAATAAGGGTTAGGGGAGTTCACATAGTTACAGGCTTGTGATTGGTTGACATTTGGCCTAGTTTGCTGGTCCTGCCAGGTGGTCATTATCAAGGTCCCGTCTGGGGAATTTCTAAACGGGAACTGAAAAACACATACTGTCTGTTCTTTATCTACGACCACTGACCTTGTCCTGGGCCCGACATCTGGGCTCTGAGACTTTACCCAATTCCTTATTTCCGGGGAGGGGGTTGGTGTTAGCGCAAGCAAGTTTACAAAAGCAAAATCAGCAGTTAGCAATTGTAAAAAGTAACTCTAATTTTTAATCTTTCACCTCTGTCCAGGCAAGTTCCTGCCCTTTGCCCCTTGATATTATAAAACCATCTCTTTAGAAGGACATTCTTTCTCCCCTGGCAGAAAATTAACCTTGTCAGCTCCTTTGCTGGCAATAAAACTCTTTCTTGGTTCTAGATGACTGTGTGTGTGTGTGTGGTTCTGGGTTGGTGCTTTCACTGAACTACTAACTTCCTCAGTGAAAAAGAGCCATTTATCCAAAAGAAAATTCAAGGGCATGAAAATTATCACAACTCAACTAGAACACTGCATAAAAACATGGAAATGTATTCTACTTTATCACATATGATAGATTCAAGAAAATAGAGGCCTTTCACCCAGGCATATTCTTTACAACTCTACATGCAAACATGGGATAAAGATGGGTCATGTCTTTCCACTGTTTCTTATGCTGCTTTAGTTTCCAGTCCTAGATTTATCTGGGAGCTTTGGGTGGAGAAATGACTTTGGTGAAATTGCTTTCATGATTGCTTCTAGTGCAACAAGGAGTCTAGCATTGCACAAAAGATTTTTCAAATATTTACCTCCCATGTGGCAAAGGGATCCAACATATCCAATAAAAAACATACTAAATTAGCTTTTTTCTACTATATCCTTTATTTTCCATATTAACAAATCACCCTTAACCTTAACACCTTCCTATTCCTTCATGCAATAAAATTGGGCTTCTTTGTTCAGAAGAGATAGTAATCTGGAAATTGCTCTACTGTAAGAACGGCCTTGCTTGGATTCAATGAAGTTTGTTTTCTTCTTTTGACAGATATCTATGAAGTCAAGGATTATGCCTGAAAGGCAGAGAGATCCTATGGTTAAAATAAAACATGCCTAGCCACAACAGGAGACACCTATACTGCACTATACTCATTAATCTTTTTCTGTTGTGAAAACTAGAAATGTTGACTTAGGTTGGGAAACCTTCCAACACTATCCACAAGAAAACTCCCAGAGCCTGGACAACAATAAGAAATCCTGAAAGACTCTTTTCTTCCAGCATAGTGAGAACTGTGAAGGGGAATGAAATGACACCATGACCATCAATGCCTTGGTTCTGCATCTTTGATCCTGAGGTATCTAAAAGATCTTTAATTAGTAGATTATGTTTCCTATATACAGCTCAAGATAGAAGTTTGGTTCATGGTGAGATTTCCTATACACATTTGGCTTTCCCTCTCCTGTCTTCTCCTATGCTCTTATGTAAGTATTCAATTACATTATGGTACAGATATTCATTGCATCAGAACCACACACACACACACACACACACACACATGCATTAATTGGACCAATTTACACTAAAAGCTGGATTAGAAGTAGTCATTTTTGTAGTCGTCAAGTAATATGTCTACCCATGTTAACACTGCCAGGTCCATCCAGGGCTTTAACACTAAATCTCTCTGAGGTAAATGAAGACATTGATGTTTGTAAGGTGGTTTGCATGTGGGATTGTATTTAATGATTGCTTTCAAAATTCCCTGTCTTATAAGTGATCTGGTTTTAATTCTCTTTCCCATGTAGAATATTGTTTTAAGCTTCTCATGTCCAGAGGAGGGTATTGGCTTCCTTTACTTGGCTATTCATTAAATCCTTTCTGTTAATATTGAGAGAATTGTTTTTCTGAAGGTTTCTGGTTTGGACAAGTGGTTTGGCCCTTGTTAATTACATTTTAGTTACACTTATCCTTTTCCTGAGCACTTTAAGACATCCTGTTAGAAGCTCCTTGAAGGTTAATTACATACAGTTAATTAAGCCACATCCTTTTGCAGATGGTGAACCTGAGCTCAGCCAACTTGAGCAGAAGGGTGGGTTTGCTGGGTCAGGGATAAAAATGAAGCATCCTGTCTTCTCTCTGTGCTTGCTTGGGAGAGTTCTGGCTGGAGGTGCATCCTTTTGCATAAATAAACGTTGTCATGCAGAGTTCCCTTCATGTTGGTGACCTATTCCTGTGTGACACCCAACATCCTGAACCATTTGGAATTACTGTCATCCAAAGCCATTCTTTACAACTCAAAAAAAAAAAAAATAGAACTATGTGACAAATATAAATATGAGAAGGTTCCAATTTCTTTTCTTTTCTTTTTTTTTGGTCGGTCGTGGGGCTTGAAATCTGGGCCTGGGCGCTGTCCTTCAGCTCTTCAGCTCAAGGCCAGTGCTCTACCACTTGAGCTATATCGCCACTTCTGGTTTTCTGGTGGTTTATTGGAGATAGGAGTCTCATGGTCTCTCCTGCCCGGGCTGGCTTTGAACCGCGATCCTCAGATCTCAGCCTTCTGAGTAGTTAGGATTACAGGCATGAGCCACCAGTGCCCGGCTGAGAAGGTTCCAATTTCTATCACACAAATTTGTTTCTAAAACCTATCCTTACCTAAGAGAATTTCTAATTGGAGAAATGACTTTGGTAAGATTGCTTTAGTGATTACTTCTATTGCAGCTGGGAGAGGAAGATTTTCCAATGGACGAGAGTGGAAAATTAATATTTGACACAGTGGATCTTTGTACCACATGGGAAGTGAGTATTTGCTATAGATAACATGAAGGAAATTGAGAGAGGAAGAGTTTGGATCCCATCTTTACATGTACATTAGCATGTATACTCTTGGAGAAATCCATGGTATTTGAAAGGCCTATTTGCTTAAGTGGAAAGATGAATTCCATATTTAAGTATACAGAGAGAATTGGGGCAGACATTTTGGAAACAATGGCAACAGCTATCTCTGTAACTCCATACGCAGAACTAAACACAGGAATTATTTTCTTGCCGACACCCCTATCATTTCCCTCCTCACTGGTCAATTGCAGTTAGCTTAATTTTAATTTTGTAGAAGTGTTTCTTTCAGTCATAGAGCATTGCACCTAAGTTGATATGCAGCTACGTTGATAAATTATTGTTCATTACATTTTTTTCCCCTCAAGGCCACGGAGAAGTGTAAAGACTCAGTGTTGGCTAAGTCCATTGGAGTGTTCAATTTCAATCATGGGCAGCTGGAGATGATCCTGAATAAACAAGGGCTCAATATAAGCCTGTCTGTAACCAGGTAATCTCCCTCAGTCTCCTCTCCTATTCTCCATTTCTTTCTTCCTGTATTATAAGCAAGTGTTCCCACTCCTTGTCCCTCTACCCCCCTATGCCAGCCTTTTTGCAAAGCAGAAGATGCTAAAAATAGAAAGTATGGAGCAATCTTAGTCATATCTTTATTTGCAAAAGCCAAAAATACATGGAAGGACCTCAGTGCTACACTGTGTCTAGGAATTTGAGACACTAAGTGCCTTCCATCCAGGTGGGCTCAAGTCATTAGTCTCCTCTAAAAGAGAAGATTCAGTAGTTCTTGATCCATGAAATATGAGAGGCTGGATGGTTAATGTGCCTGTGGATGGGAGGAAAGGCCTTTAAAATGGAGAAAGCAGCGAGCAAGGACACAGTTAACAATTACTATATCCAAGCATCTTGAGAAATGCCTCCAGTGTGGCTTTTTGCTAATAGCAGAAGCAGGACTCAGCCACCTAGAAACAGATGCCAGATCAATAGCCCTTTCCAGTTGTTTGTGGTGATCAGCCAAATATTTGTCATAAGCAACTGATGATCCCTGGGGACTTGTCTTTATAGGATAAGGAGGCAGCCTGCTTGTCCAGGCCCACGTATTCCCTCAAATGGAGGACCCACTGTGATTTTTATGTTTGTCAAGAACATTGCTGTGTTCTCTGATCATTAAAGTAGGTTTCTGATGACTTAGTAACCACATCAGCCTTCATTTGAATAGCTATTTAATGGCAAAGTATTTTAAGTGACTACTCCTTTATGCCCATGGTTAAATACACAAGTATTATTTGAGGTGATTTAGAAGGTAAATTTAATACCCACCATGCCATTGAATTGAAAGATGTAGAACTACATGTTCAAGTATACTCAAAAAACATAAATATGCTTAACATTCAAGGAAGCCATCAAAATTTAGCATTACGGTGGCAAAAATTTCATCAATATTAATTTTAATTATATAACACCGTAACGGAATTGATTCCAGTTCCATTTCACATGTGCTTGTTCTTTGTCTATTGATTATTTTTGAATAGGATTCCCTAAGTGAGCAGTTTGGATGCAAATACACAATGTATCTGCCTCAACTTTCCAAATATTGGGATTACAAGCATGAACTACCATATCTGAATATCGAGAATATTACTTTAACCTCACTGCCTCTTCCAACAATGAATAACTTTTGATTATTTATTTGACAAGCAGGGGTTATGCATTTTTGACTGCCCTGCAAGAGAAGAAACAGATTGTGCTTAGCCAGAAGACAGACCAACAATGAACTCCAAACACTCCTATGTGACACTAAATGATGGTCACTTGATCCCTGCTCTGGGCTTTGGCACCAGCACACCTGAAGAGGTAAGTCATCATTTGGTGCATGGTTCAAAGGAAAATAACCTAGGATGAGAAGAAGTTTATCTATGCTGTCAACACATTCATTTCTTGCCTGAGTATTTGAACTTACTTGGTTCTCAGGTTTGTCTTTTTATTTCCAGGATAGAGCTAAGCCATGTAAACTCCATCAGAGTTGGACTAGTTAATCACAGACCGATTACATTACATGTCATATTTTCCTGTATTTTCGATCTGGTTCTCAGAAGATTACAGTCTCAAATACAAGAATACTGCCTGCCAGGCCACTTGCTTGGATGTTGATTGCATTTGGAGTCATTTCTGTTTATTTCTATAGTTCATGAAGAGTTCTAGAAGGCAAGATGCAGAGAAATCAGAAAAGTTGATGGGATAGTCAACAGAATAAAAGATGGAAAGGAACTTTTCTTTGGGTTTGGGGTAGCCTTTAACATCTGATAGTAAAGATTGCATCTGGGATGAATAGAATTTCAATGTCCTATTTTCACACAGGGTGTGAAAGCACTAGCATTTAATTATCTTGTCAATAAAAGAAAGGGGGGAGGAAGGTGGAGCCCAATTGTTTAGCGGGAAGAATTACATATAACAGAGTTTTTTAAGAAAAAGAAAGCATATAGTCTTACAGGAATCAGGAAGTGGGCATCCTGACTCAAAGATCAAGTGTGCAGAATTTGTCAGAGCATTAAGAAGTCATAGTCATCAATTAATTAGAATGCAAAGGGCAGGATGGAAGGCGTTCATACTGCAATATCCCTTTAAAAAGGAGATTGGCAAGGCTTTAAGCACTGAAGCCTCTGGCTGCCCTTTGTGAGAACATTTGGTGGGAATGGTAATGGTAGGAATGGTAAAGGATAGACTTACTTCTGCACTAAACATGATAAAAAGCCGCTTCCATCCTTTTTGAGAATTGACGTGGAAAGACTATTTTTCCTTTCTTTGCTTTGGAAGATTGAAACAACAAAGAAAAAGAATGTCTTTCAGAGTTGGTAGCTCTGCATTGTATTATGTTCTTTCTGAGCAAGAGAGAGTAATAGGAAAAGTTTAGTCCTTATATTGTACAAGCATGCTCTATAAAGTCCTGTTCATAAAAGTTAAAACAGCAAATTCTTTCCCTGATCAGGAAATGTAATGACTCTCAATGTAATAATAGTCACATAGATACCATTTCTTCTCTAAATATGGATCCTAGAGCATATGGTATGCATTCTTTCTCTCTTTACCCTTCTTGGTCACCCTAATTATCCATTTTCTGATGAATACTGAAATGGAGGCCTGTGTGATGTCTTGTCTCTGAAGCTCCTGTGTCTACAGGTCTTACGGCTCTGTCCTTTGGAAATATCTTTGGATATATCTGTTCCACTCCATTGGTGCTGCTCAGTGGTTTCACTCAGCTAAAGCTGAGCCCCCTGGTCTGGAAAAGAAGACTGTACATTATCATCACTTTCAAAAACAAACACAAGGTTGTTTCCCTAAAGATTCTCCCTAACCCTATCTTTGTCACTTGCATGTTTTTGTTCTCTCTCACGTTTTTTTCTTTTGTCAGTCGTGGGGCTTCAACTTGGGCACTGTCCCTCAGCTCTTCAGCTCAAGGCCAGTGCTCTACCACTTGCATCACATCACCACTTCCAGTTTTCTGGTGGTTTATTGGAGATAAGAGTCTCATGGACTTTCCTGCCTGGGCTGGCTTTTAACTGTGATCCTCAGAGCTCAGCCTCCTGAGTAGCTAGAATTACAGGCATGAGCCACCAGGTTCCAGCTTCTCTCTCACTTTTTATAAATAATCCAAATTGATTTGGCCATAATTGCATAGACAGGGATCAAGAGACCATGGTAGTTATTTTCTCTCAGATTCCAAACTGCTCATCATTGTTTTGAGAAGATTGAAAATCATATAGAAGATTTAATAATCATGCGCTCTTATCTTTCAGAAAGAATAAATTTTAAGCTTTCATACATATGTATTTATAATACATATTGTGTGATGACATTACATCATTGACTAATATAGTCATTATTTTTAACTATTATGTTAAATAACTTGGTTTTTATAATAATCCATTAATAATTTATCAGTTCCAATCTGAATCCCAATAATTATTCTATTACATCAAATTTTAGCCACCTATTCCAAAATTTAATAAATTTAAGATATTTTCATTTCTGTTCACTTATGCATAATGTTCAGTAAGGCTTGGACTGAAGAAATCAGTTCATAGGCACAGTGCATCTAGGTCAATGTTTCTCCACCCACTGCATCTTGCATAGGATGTGGCCATCTTTGTATTTGGACATGTGACCCTGGGCAATCAGGTTTCCCCTCAGCCATCTCTGCTAAGGTGATAAGGTAGAAATTAAAGGAATGTATGGAAAAACATACATTTTAGTTCTTCCTCGATTGAGCAAAAATAAGAAGAAATCCAAAAGTTTCTTCTAGCAATGCAAAGGATGCAATCCATGTATGTGAGAAATGGTGGCTGTCCAGTAGTCAACTTGGAGGTAAAGGAAGGGAAGTGTCCTAATAGAGCTGCATAGGCCCAAGGGCTCATTAAGAGTGGCCCACGTGACTGAAGAAGGGAAAAATACATCCATTGTAAGTAGGTCTAGATGCAGGTAGTAGTATATGTAATTAAATTTATTGAAATTTTATTGAAGTTTATGTATGAATGGAAATGACATGATGAAATCCTTTACTATGTACAATTCAATATATGCCAATAAAATAACAAAAATTAACTTGTATAAAAATATAGTGATTCCAACTCTCTTCTTATATGTGAAACATTTCTCCCTTTATATTAGTTAATTTCTAGACCAGCAGTACCATTGGGGAATCATTAACAGGAAGTGACACTAACTAACCATTAGGCAGGAGCTAGGATGTAAGTTATTCAGTGTCCTGTGCAGGAAGCAGAAGGAACAACATGAGCTTAGTCAGACAACTGACCAGCCATGAGTTGTAAAGAGCATTGTGTGAAACTAAATGATGGTCATTTATCCCCACATTGGGCCTTGGAACCTACACGCCTGAAGAAGTAAGTTATCCTATGAGGAAATGTTGAAAAGTATTCTAGAGTGATTGGGAGTTGAACTGGGCTATCAAGACTTAGTTACTTCTTGTATGAGTGCTGGGGATTCATTTGGTTCTCAGATCTTCCAGCTATGCTCACACCTACTTGTATATCTAGATTATTTGAGAATACATTTTTCCATCAGCATTTCATCTGTAAAAAAAAGGAGGCATGGATACATAAAAATGTGTTTGATCACACATTGTTCTCTAGCCAAGTTTGAATGACAGTCTAGCTCTGGTTGGCATCTAGGGACTTTGATGTCTTAGCAGCCATTTAAAGATAACGATGATGAGTGTTCCTAAATGGCTTATATACAAAAGAGCAGTACAGTTTTGCATTGTCTTCTTTTGAGAGATGGATTTGGCAGGTCCTATCAGAGGACTCCATATAATATGAAAATCTTGGAAAGTTCTCTAACAGATTTCATTACAGACAGAGTTCCCATTTTTGTGAAGGGAGAATTATAGGGAATTCAGCCTGTTTCACTGAAGAAGAATCACAGAAGCTTGCACCAGATTTCTTCTATATTTTTCTTACATTCTTACCCTTTGACATTTACTTAGTGACCTCTTTATATTAATAATAATAGGATTAATGAAATAATAAAATTATTTCAATATGCTGAATTTTGCATGAGGTTCCAGATAATATATGAACAGGAGTTGTTTCTGGGGTGTACTATATTAATAATTAACGAAGATTTCATGGTTTTGTAAGGGACTTAGAATGTAAAATTCTTGTTTAGCACAAAGACCCAGAAAATGTGGGTTTGATTTTGTTGTCCATGTTCAAAAGTAAATAAAGATGTAAATAGGGGCTGGGAAGGTGGTTCAGTGGTATAGTGTTTGCCTTGCATGCATGAGGCTCTGAGATCCATTCTTCAGCATAACATAAGCAGAAAAAAGCCAGAAGTGGCACTGTGGCTCAAGTGGTAGAGCACTAGCCTTGAGCTGAAGAGCTGAGGGTCAGAGCCCAGGCCCAGAATTAAGTCCCCCTCACTCACAAAAAAGAAGGTGTAAATAAGTGCCAGTTCTGTAGCCTCCAAAACAACATTTGGGGTGTCATTTAGTATCACAGAAAATGGGAATTCAATGATCAGGGAACGAGGCCTTTGTCAAATATGCCATCTGACAATGATTTGTAGTACAAATCTCTTTGGTCTTGTCAACTATCCTTTTGGCTAATTCTGACATCTAGTGACAACTCCTTTCTCCAAATACTACTTCTGGTTGCTTCCCTAGGTTCCCAAGAGTAAAGTCTTTGAGGCTACCAAGTTAGCTATAGATGCCGGCTTCCTCCATATTGACACTGCTTACACATACCAAGTGGCAGAGGAGGTAGGGCAGGCCATTCGAAACAAGATTGAAGAGGACACTGTGAAGAGAGAAGACATATTCCTCACCTCAAAGGTATTGTATCTACAGTGTGTAAGTGTGCAAACAAATGATGTGACGTAAAGAAGAGAAAATTATGTATGAAATTGAAATATCAGTTGGCAAAATGTGCTTATTGGTGCGCCTTTTATTCTCATTTATTTCCCATAGAGGATATATTCTGTAAGTCACCTGTAATCCTAGCCACTCAGGAGGCTGAGATCTGAGGATCATGGTTCAAAGCCAGCTTGGGCAGGAAAGACGGGGAGACTCTTGTCTCCAATTAACCACCAAAGAACCAGAAGTGAAGCTGTGCAAAGAAGCTTGAGCAAAGGAGCTCAGAGACAGTGCTCAGGTCCTACATTCAAACCCAAGACTGATACACTCACACATACACACACATATGCATACACACACTCACACACACACACACACACACACACACACAAAGTAGTTTAGTGATTGTACACAAATACAGTTTAGTGATTTTATTTAGTGATTGTATACAAATTTATAACATTAAAATGCCTTTCTGTCTATGTCCTTAACTCAAAGCATCATTATTTAGAATGGGCTCAGAGGTGATATAGACTATGTCAAAATTATGACTTCCCTTCTCCCCTTGCTTATTTTCTACATTTTCTTCACATTTAGAAGATCAGTTTTTAACACTCATGAAAATCAGAGAATTGATATTATCTGAATGGTAAATGATTTTCAGTTATAATGTACTGATTTGTGTAACATGTTGAAATGTTCAAAATGTGTCCCTCCTGCTATGTAAATACAAAGATGTTAGTTGTTCATGTATTAATGAATGAGAGTCGTAGCACAATAATAAATTTATAATATGCATAAAAAGTAATTCAGAGATTTGAAGTCCTTATTACTTGATTAGATATAAAAATATGCCTTTTAAAATGTATTTCTAATTTCTCTAACTTGATGAACAATAACCCAATATGATGGGACTCACTTTGACAGGGCAAATAGAAGGAAATTGAAATATGAAGGGTGTGTTTTCTAACATCTGTTTCTTTCAGGTACAGACATGCCAATCTTATAAGATATAAATGTCAATCTTTGGATCATTTATTAATCAAACACAAGCTCTATTCTTCAATTTCTGTAGCTTTGGTGTACTTTCTTTCGTCCAGATCTGGTCCAGCCTAGCTTGGAAAGATCACTGGCAAACCTCAAATTGGATTATGTTGACCTCTATCTCATGTATTATCCAGTGTCTATGAAGGTAGGCAATGTATGATATACTTGGTGGGTATGAACATAATTTCCACAAATGGTTGAGTTAAGCTTCTGTCAGGAACTGAAATAAAGTTTATTTGTATGTTTTTCCAACTATGCAAATAAATTAGACAAATATTAATGGATTAAGAGATAGAAACTTCAAGTGTGGCCTATATTTAGAGATTACAGATAACAGCTAGAAATGACTGGGCTTATACAACATTTTCCCCTGCCGTTACTAGAGATTTCTTTATTTGTTTCTCATCTTTTTCTATTGGTGGTAAATATGGCTTTGAAACAGTTTAAGTTTCATGGTTATTAGCTATCAGTAGATTCTCCACAACTCCCATGATCAAGGGCCGACTTGCATGTAGCCTACTTTAGCCATCTTTGGTTCCGGTAGGTAAAGAATCTTCATAGTTAAGGCAGGTTCAAGATTGATATCCATTGTTCTTGGTGGTCCTTTCCAAAGAATCTTGCACATTTTACTTTAGAAGAAACTGTAGTAATAAGCAGGGTTACCTATGTGAAGTAGGAGATTTCAGAAGGTCGGGTGGAAGGTTTATTTAATAGTACTGTATACAGGGGCTGTGAAGATGGCTTAGTGGTGGAG